GACAGACAGAGGGCAGCAAGGCTGCAGGGCTCTGCAGGGCAAGGCTGCCTGTGGTGAGGGAGGGCCAAGGTGGAACAGGATGGCAGCCTCTCCTCCAGGGTCCCTGGGGGAGCCTCACCCTTCCCTCCTGGCCAGGATGGAGACCCTGAAAGTAAAGCTCAGACCGAAACCTGCACTGGGGAAATAAAGGATAATGGACTCTAATGACTGATCATTAATTCAATTAATTAAGCTAATGTATGCAATAAGTGGTACCAGTTATAAGAACAAATCAGCTAATACAGGCAATTAAAGGGGTTGGTTATTTAAATAATTAATGCAGCTGATTAGTGGAACTTATTTAGCTCAGTTGTCACTATTATTTATTAATTGATTTCACCACTAATATTAGAGAGGAAGTGCCTTTTAAATCCATAAAATAAGAAATTAATTAATTAATTAATTAATGGAGCTGAGTTTTTTTTAAAATACAGTATTTCAGTTTTATTTTATTATTTTTATTTTTAAATATTTATTTATTTATTTTTGGCTGCGTTGGGTCTTCGTTGCTGTGTGCGGGCTTTCTCTAGTTGCTGTGAGCAGGGGGTACTCTTCGTTGCGCAGGCTTCTCATTGCAGTGGCTTCTCTTGTTGCAGAGCGTGGGCTCTAGGCACATGGGCTTTAGTAGTTGTGGCTCGCGGGCTCAGTAGTTGTGGCACGTAGGCTGTAGAGTGCAGGCTCAGTAGTTGTGGTGCACGGGCGTAGTTGCTCTGCGGCATGTGGGATCTTCCCAGACCAAGGCTCGAACCCGTGTCCCCTGCACTGGCAGGCGGGTTCTTAACCACTGGGCCACCAGGGAAGCCCGGAGCTGAGTTTTTTAAAATGGAAGCTTTGATTCCTGGATTTGATCATTACAAAGAGAGAGAGAACATTCTAGAAGTCTCCAAGCAAACTGAGATCTGCAGGCTGAGTAGGGATTACTCTGACTCTAAGGGAGAGAATTCCTCTAGGCAGAAGGAATATCACGTGCAAAGGTCCTGAGGCTGGAGCGGGTAGAGCTCTTTGGAGGAAGTGTGAAGCCTGAGTGCAAGGAGGACCCTAAGGAAGAGAGGAGGGGTGGCTGGCAGGGGCTGGGTCACAGCGGGCCGACCCATGAGAACTAGAGTTTGTCCTCAGGATTGCAGGGGCTGCTGTGACATTTATTCATTCATAAACATCTTTACAGGGGCTTCCCTGGTGGTCCAGTGTTTAACACATCGTGCTTCCACTGCAGGGGACACGGGTTCGATCCCTGGTCAGGGAACTAAGATCCCACATGCCACGCAGTGTGACCAAAAAATACAAAACAGAGCAAAACATCTTTATAGGGTGCCTGGCACCATTCTAGGCAGAACCCAACCCCTGCCCTTGTGGAGCTGATGTTCTGGTGAGAGGAGATAGTGCATGGCAAGTCAGATGAAGCGCTACGGAGAGGGACGAAGCAGGGCGGGGAGGTGGCGAGCATTGAGAGGCCACACTTCACTTCCAGATGGGCGGCCAGGGAAGGCCTCACTGAGAAGGGACATTTTGGTAAAAACCTGAAGGAGGGAAAGGCGGGAGCTTAGTGGATATCTGGAGGGAAAGTATTCTCGCAGAGGGAACAGAAAGTGCAAAGGCCCTGAGGTGGGAACAAAAGGCAGCAAGAAGCCCAGCCTGGCTGGGGCAGCGTGAGTGAGGGGAGTGTGGTCAGAGCCAGTGTGTGAAGGCTGTTATGAGGACTTCAGCTTTTTAAAAATATATATATATATATTTATTTATTTTTGGCTGCATTGGGTCTTTGTTGCTGCACGTGGGCTTTCTCTAGTCGCAGCCAGTGGAGGCTACTCTTTGTTGCGGTGCGCGGGCTTCTTATTGCGGTGGCTTCTCTTATTGTGGAGCACGGACTCTAGGCGCACGGGCTTCAGTAGTTGTGGCGCACGGGCTCAGTAGTTGTGCCTCACGGGCTCAGTAGTTGTGGCTCACGGCTCTAGAGCGCAGGTTCAGTAGCTGTGGCGCACAGGCTTAGTTGCTCCGCGGCATGTGGGATCTTCCCGGACCAGGGCTCGAACCTGTGTCCCCTGCACTGGCAGGCGGATTCTTAACCACTGTGCCACCAGGGAAGTCCCCAGGACTTCAGCTCTTACTCTGAGTGAAACTGGGGCTCACTCCAGTGGGCTGGAGCACAGGAAAGTCGTAAGCTGACTCATTTTAACAGGATTGCTCTGGCTGCTGGGGGGAGAACAAGTCAGAGGGACACAGATGCAAGCTGGGAGGCAGTGAGGAGGTGGTGGCCATAGTCTGGGCAAATGATGTCAGTGGGTGGTGAGCCAACATGGTCACCTTATGTCTTAGGAATCCTGGAGTGTTATAGTGGGGCAGGGAGAGGTGATGGGTGCTGGTGGTGGCTCCAGGCCCTCAGCTTCCCGGGCCTTGGCCTCTGCCTGAGCACCCCCACTGGCTCTGGCCACCTCAGCCCACCTGCTCCCTGGGGCAGGCGCCCCCTCCCCAAGGCTCTGCTCCTGCCCAGAGCATGAGGGGAAGTGGACAGGAAGCAGGAGGAAGTGCTAGGCGATCCCAGTGTCCTGGCCAATCTGTTCCCAGCAGTGGGAGGATTTCCGGGCCTAAATGGCCGGAAACACTGGGATGGGACACCTCACCCAGGAAGAGCAGGGTGGTGAGAGGGGGAGGGGTCTGTACTCCACCCCACTCCCAACTCGGCTGGACAGAGAGAACCCAAACACCTTTGGGAGCCTGCTGGGGCCAGGCTGCAGCTTGGTTAGAGGTCAGCAAGGACTTTGCAGGAAGGAAGGCTAGCACCAGGGACTCTGGAATGTCAGAACAGGGAGGACTGTCAGACAGCATCTCAACGAGGAGCCCCTGGCCTCAGGAGCTGGGGGAAACCCTGCATGGAATTCTGCCCTGGAAACATATACTTCACCCACAGTTTTTGTTTTGTCTTGTTTTTAGCTCAGCTGTTTTTGTTTTAAATTTATTTTATTAGATTTATCACATTTAAATTTAAATTTGGTGCTTCTGTATTTGAGGAAGCAGTTCCCTGATGTTTGACTTTCCTCCCTATTTTGCAGATGGCAATACAGAGGCCTGTGCCAGCCAGAGAACCAGGGTCCAGCCTGACAGAATTAATAATAACAATAGTGATGAATACTGGTTGAGGGTTTACTGTTCATACATTCCTTAAGCAATAAAGAGTTCTTGAGCTCCTACCATGTGCCAGGCACCATGGTGGGGGCTCACCTGTGAGCTATATAAGGTTAGTGCCCCAGGGGAGGCGTCAGGTAACTGAGTCAACAAATAAATGTAAAGTGATTGTTTCAGGCAGAGATTGAGGAAAAGAAAGCAGGGTTGAGGACAGAGAGTGAGGGACAAGGGACTATTCTTGGCAGGGTGGTCAGGGAAGGCTTCTCTGGGTTGGGGACATTAAGCAGAGCTCTAAATAAAGTAGGGGGAGGGGCAAGCTGTGTGATGATGTGGGGTGGGGCGGAGAGCATTCCAGGCAAGGGAACAGATCAAGTGCAAAGGCCCTGTGGCAAGAACGAGCTTGGCAAGGAGGCCAATGTGGCCGGGACAGAATGAGGGAGGGAGACATATTTTGGGGGTGGGAATTGATGAGGCGGGCAGTCAGATACCACCAGCGCCACACAGGGCATTGTAGGTTGGGGAACACGTGAGCCTGTTTACATTTGTTTTTCTGGCATGAAAATGGCACCCTCTTTACTCTCACAAGGGAAGAAAAGTCTTGGTTTAGTTGATAAATTACATGGCCAGCCATTTGCAGACCATGGAGTGGGATTTAGATTTTGTTCTTTGAGAGATGGGAGGCTTGGGGGTGTTTTGTGCACCGAGATCTGCTTAGCTTTTCACTTGAGAGCCGCCTGGGTGGCAGAGGGCTGTGAGGGCAGACACAGCGAGAAGGCTGCTGTGTGCTCCACAGAGGACACAGAGGGCGTCCCAGATGGGGCAGGGTTGACACATGGAGAGAAGTGCTCAGGATCTATTTTGGAAGTAGAGCCACAGGATTTCCTGATGAATTGAGCATGGAGTGTGAGTGAGAGAGGAGGTGCAGAGGACTGCAGGGTTTTGGGCCAAACAAAGCAACAAGAAGGATGAAGCTGACATCAACTGAGATGGGAATCGGATGTGGGGAGCAGGGGCGTGGGGTGGGGGGGATCGGCAGTCCTGCTTTGGATACGAAAGTCAAAATGACTTCAAACATCTGAGAGGAGATGCTAAGGAGGCAGTTGGGTTTCTGAGTCTGGTGTTGAAGGGGCAGGTCCAGGCTGCATCGGAGAAGGGAGGGCCTTTAAGGCTGAGGACTGGGGGAAGTGGCTCACGGAAGCCCTCACGAGGAAGGGTGCTATCTATTTGGCACCTGGGAAAAACAGCCACCCCCAGCCTCTGGCCTCTCCAGGCCCCATCCTGACCACCTCTTGGGGAGGGGATCAATTCCGCAGCCAAATGTCACCAGCAATGGCACCATGATGTGCCACTGGGTGGGTCACTCTGCACTAGGGAATGAGGGTAGGGCGGGAGGAAAGGAGGCTGAGGCCCAGCCTGGGGCCACCAACTGTGGAGTCAGGGAGGAGGTGGGGAGTGAACACCAGGGGAGTGCAGCGTCCTGAAGCTGGTCGAAGATAGCAATTCAGGGAGCAGTCCCCGTGTTAAGCATATAACATTCATCAGCTCCCAGAGTCCTCGAGAAAACCCGAGGAAGCAGAGGCTATCATTACCCTGATTTACAGACAGGAAACAGGCTCAGAGAGGTGAAGGTACTTGCCCAGGGTCGCACAGCTGGAGAGTGGAGGAGTAGCCCAGCCAGCAGATTCCAGCAAATGCTATCAGCTGCAGTGCCCCCTCCTGCCTGCAGGTGGGCAGAGGCTGGCAGCTGGGGAGCCAGGCAGGGCTGGGAACACTCACTTTTCTTCTCTCCTTCCAGGGCCACTGGAGAGCCGGAGGCTGGCGGGGACTATGTGAAGGTAAGAGGGGCCGGAAGGGGACACTGGAGGGCCCAGAGTCTGTTCCAGGAAGGGCAGAGTCCATTTCTGGCCTGGTTAGGAGCCAGATCTCACCGACTGTTCCCAGGAGGAGAAGGTCTGGGAGTCAGGGCAGCGTGTGGGGTCTGCTTTCAATCCCAGCATCTTCTTCCCATGCCTTCCATCATTCTTTCCTGGCCCCAAACTCAGGACTTCCCAATGTTTGTTACTACCAGACTCCATCCAGCTGCCAGCTGGACAGGGCCCCGAGGGTGGCTCCTTGCGAAGACCGGCTCTAATCCCACTTGGTCTCTGAGCGTGTGGTGCTGGTGCCGGGAGGCGGCAGCAGGAAAGGATGACTCAGTTCCTCATCACAGATAATGGGCACAGTCACATCGATCATGAGCTTAATTTGTCCTGGGCACTGGGAATGTTGAAAATGCAGTTTTGAAGTAATAACGATAACAATAACACGACATAACATTTCGAGTGCCTATTGTGTGCAGAGCCCTGTGCAGGCTGCTAGCACTGGGAGTCACTTCTGAGCTCTTTACATAGATGAGGTCTTTGACTTCTTCCCTCATCACTGGGCAGTGAGGGCTTTCTTGTGCCCATTTACAGATGGGAAATTTGAGGCCCAGAGAAGTGCAGTGATTTGCCCACCACCACACAGCTACTGCAGGGCAGAGCTGGGATTGCTGTCCAAGTTTATTTGATGCCAAGACCATGGACAGAGCCCTTGGCCTTCCACACCCCGGAGCACCCACCCTGAGCGAGGTCCCCTGCCGAATATGGAGCACACAGCAGAGGGCAAGGAGCGCCAGGCCCTGTGTTCCAAGGGCTCCTGGCCCATGTGGGGACCAGGGCAGAACCACACAATGGTTTGGGCTTGTGTTTTGTAATTTAGCAGACCCAAATTTTAGTCCCAGATCTGCCACTTATTTGCCACATGACTTTGGGTGTGTCACCTCTCTGAGCCTCAGTGTTCACCTGTATGAAATGGGGTAACAGTGGTGCTTCCAAACCAGGGTTGCTATGGGCTCAATGAGTCCATGCCCATGAAGGGGAGATCTGGGCCTGGAACAGAGCAGGCCAGGCTGGTTCCTGACCCCAGGGCATTCCATCACCCAAGATGCTGCCTGTAAAGCTCCGTGTAAGTGACTAGTAATGAGCTCTGTGGGAAGTGCTCACACTGCTGTCTCCCACCATCCCCAGAAGGCTCAGATAAGAAGCCATTGGAGCTCCAGAGGTAGGGGACGATTTTCAGCTCAGGAGCTGGGGATGAGGAGATCAAGGAAGGCTTTCTGGAGGAGGAGGCATTGAAGCCAAGCCATTGCAGTTGACCGGGAATATTCACCAACATCCTCTCTCCAAACAGAAAGCTGGAAAGGAGATAAAGATAAGCAGAGATGGGTGGTAGAGTGATCCAGGCAGAGGTAAGAGTGTGGGCGCGGTCAGAAAGCAAGCTTGAGTGAGCCCGGGAAATGCAGCCCAGGGCTGTAGCAAGTTGAGCAGGAGCTGCTCCCAGGATTTGGGCCCTGGCTCCTCATTCCGAGCCCTGACACCACAGGGGGGACAGAGGCCTCAGGTAGAACCAGCACCAAAGCCAGTGGTGGACCACACAGGGGCATATTTCAGCACCCCATAAATCCCAGCTGCCTGGAAAGGTAATGAGATCCCCATCACTGATGGTAGTGAGATCCCTGTGAGGATTAGCTTTGTATTTTTCCCTTAGTTTACTGGGCTGAAAAATGTAATTTAAAAATGCTATAAAAGAAATAATACCTGCTCAGTGGAGCTGATTAAAGAATCCCTTGAAGTATGAACTCAAAGCAATGTTAGTTGTGGCTTCAAGCCTCAGAAGAGGGTGGAATCAATAGTCGGTTACCAAAAGTCCATTCCTGACCTTACGTACTCAGCTTCCAGAGCTCCAGGGTTTCTCAGATCGTGATGTGAGTACTTTGATTCTAAGGCAAGGATTCTAAAGTTCCAAGACCGTAAAACTCCAAGCTCCATGCTCAGAGCTTCAGATGTATTTACAGAAAATAATCAAATATCTGAGACCCAGAGAGGTGGACTCACCTGCCTAAGGTCACACAGCCTGTCAAAAGGATTTGAACTCCAGGCCAGACTGATGCAGAGTCAGTGATGACTCCCTTTGTGCAGAAGAGCCTATGATTCTAGCACCAAAAGTCCAGATTCTAAGACACTAAGCTTGAAAACAATAGCAAGCATTTATTGAGCACTTGTTTTATGTCTGGCAACTTACATGCATCAGCTCAGCCAATGCTGACAAGAGTTCTGTGAGGTCAGCACAGGTATGTTTTCCAGATGAGTAAATCTGGGCTCCAGGAGAAGGGACTTGGTTGGGTGGAGGTGGGGCACCGCTAGTTGAACCCAGATTGATTCCCAAACCATTGAGCCTTACTGAGTCTCTGCCCTCCCCACCCCCCACAAGTCTGTCAGTGGAATATCCCGCAATTCCCAGCAGAGTCCCTGATTCCAAATCAGAGATGAGAAATCCTGGGCTCTGGGAGATTTCCTGAGGCCACAAAGGATTTGGTCAAACATATACAGGGATTTTTCCAGCTTTAGATATGATTTAGTTCAAAGTCTCTGCCCGCTCCGGGTCAGTGAGGGGTGAGACGAGTGGGGGCGGCAGGACACCCCCCCTCCCTTGCCGACCCAGGGGTCCCCACCCCATCCTTCTGCCCCCCGTGAAGCCCCCCTTGGCAGGTCCCCCGTTCAGCATCCCCAGACTACGGGCTGCCGGGGCGCGCGGGGCTGGAGCTCTGGGGGCTAGGGGCGGGGAGCCGGGGGCGGGCGGAGGGAGGAACAATGGCCCCCTCCCCTCCCGGGGCCGGCAGGAGGGTGGGGTCTCCCCGCCCCGCCTCCCCGCTCCTCCCCCGACAAGGCGATGAGGTAATCGCGCCGCCGAGAGGCAAGCGCAGCCGGTGCCCAGCCCGGTCGGTCCCGCGCCCCTGCCCCGCCGGCAGCCGTCCCCTGCACAGTCCCGGCCCTGGCCGCCCGGCCCCACCATGACCGAGCGGTGCAGCCTGTGGAGCGCCCTGTCGGCCGCCGCCTGCTGCTTCTACCGCGGCTCCTTCGTGCAGGTGCAGGTGAGGGGGCGGCTCGGCCCCCGCCAGGCGCTCCGGGCTGGGACCCCTGGCCGCTCGCCCCCGGAGCCGGGGAGCCGCAGCCCGTGACGCCGCGCAGGGTCCGGCCAGGCAGGGGCTGCGGGCTGCAGGCTGAGGGCTGCGGGAGGGGGCGGGGTCGCCCCAACCTCACCTCTGGGCGCCCAGACGCTCCGCAGGGTGAGGGTCCAGCTGCCACTCCCGAGACTCGGGGCTGCGGAGGCTACCGTTCCGGTCCTGCCTCCTCTGCAGGATGGAGCTGAGCTGGGGCGTTGGGTACCTGGAGATGAGGTCCCCGGCGTCCTGCCGGTCCTCCAGCGAGCACTCCGGCCCCTGCGGCTGACCCGGGCAGCCTGACTCCCCATTGTACCGGGGGCGCTGGGCCGGGGTCCAAAGGCTGAGTGAGGGGTGGGAAGCTGGGGGGATGCTGCGGGTGCCGAGGCTGGGGCCAGAGCGCCTGCAACCCTCCTGCCCTCTAGGTGGGCTTGGACGTGCTCCGGGCGCGGGTCTCCTAGCCTAGCTGGCCGGTCAGTGCGGGACGGCGCCGTGGCGGTGAAAGGGTTAAACGGAAGGGGGTGGAGGGGAGGACCCGGACCCCGCCTCTCTGCGGAGCATCATCTGCGGATGGCTTTGCTTAGGGTTGCGAGACTTAAGGGAGCTAGAGGGGACTTGCTGGGCACCGGCTGGTGAGAAGGGGTTAAGACCCTGACTCGGGGTCTCCGCGCTTTTGCTTCCCGAGCCCCCTGGGGGACGCGGGGCGCATCACCTCTGCGCTCCCCCAGGCTCACACACGCTCCGAGCCCGCCTGAATGACTGCCCCGCCGGCGGCTGAGCGCAGCATCCCCGCACCCGCCAATCAGGAGCTCGCAGGCCGGGAGGCGGTGAGATCATCTCTGGCCAATAGCAGTGCAGCGGGAGCAGGGATGCTGCATTCGCGCCCCAGCACCCACCCTCCTTGGGAGCTAGGGACCCCCGGGTCGAAGGTGAGGAATCACAGAGACCCTAGGGTTCCCTAACCTCAGGTGTGTGGGAGGACCAAGTTTGTCCCTCCAGGTTCTCCCTGACCATTGATTATGGTTGGAAAAGTGGAGCCCGGTCTCCCACCCACCATTTACAGATGAAGCTACCCAGGCCCAGAAAGGGAAACTGATTGGCTCAAGGTCATACAGTGGCAGGCAGAGTCTCGAGGCCAGGTTCTTTACCACACAGCCCCTCCCCTTCTTTGCCCCCTGTCCCCCTTGCTCCAGCTGTGGAACTGGGGCAACTTCTCAATTGCATGCTCTTTGTCAAGGAGGAGTCTCCCCTGTGACTTCCACTGTTCCCTCTCCAGGGTGTGGTGTGGTATAGGGGAGGGGCCAGGACCCTGAAGAATAGGGAACCCCATGGAGGAGTGTAGGTATCTGAGTTAGCTAATCTCAGTTCACCCCGGACCTCCCTGCCTTTCTGGGGTATTGGTTTCTACCCTGGGCGGAGGATGTACAGAATCCCCATCCTCAGGCCTTGCCTTTTCTGGAGCACTCATCTCCATCATCCACTCCCACCATCGGTCGCCAGAGCCCTACAGGTACCTCAAAGCCCAAATTTGTATGGGCCCATCCCCAAGCTGCTCCTGCCCCAGCCTTGCCCACCTTGGAGAGTGTCTCATTGTCCTCCCAGGCTCTCTACCTGGAATCCTCTCTGACTCCTCCGCCCTCTTCCCCACACCAGATCAATGGTTGTGTAAACACCCTTCCCCCAATTCCCATCCCCATACCCCACCCTCCCCTGCCATTGCCTGGAAAACACTAGGCCATCTCCACGCAGTGGATGGAACCTGCCCCAACACTTTAGAAACCTTCTGCAGCTCTGCTGTGGCCTCTGGGTAAACCCCAGCTCCCCAAGGCAGCCTCACAGCCCTTACGCGCCTGCCCCTGCCACCCCCAGCCCTTTCGAAGCTTCTCCTCCCGCCCCCAGGGCCTTGGCTCTGCCTATAGGGCCCTGACTCTGCCACTGTCTTCCCAGAGCTCTTTCCTGCCCACCTGCCTGTCCCCACCCTGATGCTTTTGCTTGGCTCCATCCGGCCTCAGTGGGGACGGCACTTCTTCAGGGACTCCCTGACCAGATGAGGAGGGACATGCTCATCTGCTCCTGGAGCTCCCTGTGCGTCTCTGAACATCCAGAGATCCTGGGGTTGCTTGTCAGTATCTGTGTGGCTCCTCCAGGACAGAGGCCGCCTGTCCTGATGACCTTGGGCTCAGCCCTTGGCACAGGACCTGTCCCAGAGTAGAGGTTCAGTGTTGAAATAATGGAGTCAGAGACTCTAGATATCTCTGAAGCTGGGAACCACGATGTCTTGGCAGCAGTGTAGACTGAGGTAAATCAAGGCAGTGGGAGCAGAGGTGTGGAGAATGGAGCAGCAGGGTTAGGCTCTGAGAACTGTGAAAGGTCAGAGGAGGCAGGGACTGGACTAGAGGATGCTGGACCCTGGTGAGGAGCGGGTCCTGGAGAGAGATTGCCCTTTAGTGCCCCCCTTCATCTGTCCTGCTGCTTGGCCAGGTCTGGGCCATATCTTTCTGTCCTGAACCAGCCATGATTGCGGTCTGGAATTGGGGGAAGGGAGAGGAAGCAATGTTACGTGTTCTGGCAGTGACAAGGACATCTGTGGGCTAGTTGCAGTGCTCTGGAGTATTGTCTCCTTTCATCCTTGCAATCCTGTGAAGTAGGTTCTGCAATTGTTCCCATTTTACAGAGGAAGAAACTGAGGCCTGGGGAACTCGCAAGACAGCCAGGATTGGGCTGGGCTTCATGGTGGGGGCACACCTGGCAGCAGGGGCTCCCCTCCCCCTGTTCTTAGGCCTCCAACCCCAGGCCACAGTAACCAGGAAACCAGGAATCTCCCCCTTGGGCAGGTGGAAGGGGGTGTCCTGAGCATTATCTCCAGTGAGTGACCTCGGGCTTCCCTACTGGGCTGCAGTTTCCCCATCTAGCAAGGATTGCTTGAGACAGCAAGGAAGAAAGGGCTTTGGGAACTGTAGAGGACATCACAGGTGTCTTTAGGCAGGGGGGTGCTCTGCAACCGTGTTTGTAGCTGCCTCCTCGACGCCTGTATAAGTCACCGTCCCAGAATGTATCCTCGTTCATTCAGCCCTATTTTTGTCCATGCTTTTGCCTGGGTACCTGCTGTGTTATATACGTTTAGAAATCCTCCCTCCCTCCACTTCAAGATCAGTTTGGTGTCTTTGGTGCAGAATGAGTGTTTGTGATTGCCATCTCCTCCAGCAAGTCTTCCTGGACCACTCCACCTGGCCTAGACTTCATCTCCTCCCTTTGAAAAGCTACTCGGCACTTTGCCGCTGTCCAGTGTTGTGGTGCTGACCTCAAATGCTCATGTCGCTTTTTAAAAATATTTATTTATTTATTTGGCTGCGTCAGGTCTTAGTTGCAGCGCACAGGATTCTCTCTAGTTGTGGCATGCGGGCTCAGTAGTTGCAGTGTACAGGCTCTCTTGTTGTGGCACGCAAACTCTAAAGCGTGCTCTTAGTTGCCCCATGGCCTAGCTGCCCTGCGGCATGTGGGATCTTAGTTCCCTGATCAGGGATCGAACCTGTGTCCTCTGCATTGGAAGGTGGATCCTTAACCACTGGACCACCAGGGAAGTCCCTCAAATGCTCATGTCGCTTTTGCCTCCCCTCTTAGACTAGGAGCTTCCTTGAGGACAGGTTTATTTATTGACTTATCTACCCTGGCACATAGTTCAGAGCCTAGAACACAGTAGGCACTTTTTGGTGGATTTAATTGAGATTCCGTTACTCCTGCTGGGATAGGGACTCCTGCGTGAGGATCTGTGCCTAAGTGTTCCCAGGGTCCCAGGATGGAATGAGTTCACCTGGGGTGGTGGAGGTTGGGAGGGAAGGAGGAAGGGGCTTCAGTTTGGATGCCAACTTTTGCTGTCTCCTGCCCAGTTCTCCAAGGAGAAGTACATCCTGGACTCATCGCCTGAGAAATTGCACAAAGAGTTGGAGGAAGAGCTCAAACTCAGCAGCACGGATCTCCGCAGCCACGCCTGGTACCATGGCCGCATCCCCCGTGAGGTGAGCGGGCCCCGAGCTGGGACCTCAGCCCTAGACCCACCGCCTCAGCCAGCCCCAGCCCAGAGAAGCTCTGACTATTGTTTGGTGGGTTCAATCAGAGTAGCCTGGGATGAGGTCTAGTTCTGCCATTTACTGACTGTGTGACCTTGAACAAGTCACTTCACCTCTCTGAGCCCCAGTTTCCTTATCTATAAGATGGAGGATAATAATAGTGCCTACCTTAAAGGTTGGTTGAGAGAATTAAATGAACTAGTGCATGTGAAGTTCTTAACACGATGTCTGACATGCAGTGAGCTCAATGAACATTGTCCTTTATGGTGGTGGTTGTTATTATTACTACGATTATTTTTACTGTTATTGTTATAGGGCTATACATCAGCCTCTTGTGTGTCTGGTCAGTGCATATCAGTCCTTAGGCTGCTCAATTTTGACAAAGTTGAATTTCTGGGCTGAGGCTGATAGTCACCTGTTCCCTTTTACATTCATGCTGTAAATCTTTGTCGAGTATCAGCTCTGTCAGGTCCTGTGCTGGGCACCAAGGATGCAGAGATAAAATAGGCGGTGGCTTCCCTTGAGGGCTGGTATCCCAGGGTAGGGGTTGACAGGCAGGCAGACCGTCAGAGCCCAGTGGGAGAAGTGCAAGAATGGAGCACCCAGCAGGGAGTGTGGGCTGCCCCGAGGAAGGGGTGCTGAGGAGAGAGGCCATTATGAGATGGATAGGAGTTCACCAGGTGGGCAGGATGGGAAGGATGTTCCAGGCCGAGAAAGTAGCTTGAGGTACAAAGGCCCAGAGATGTGCCAGAGCACTGGGTGTTAGGAGGAATGAGGATTGAGAATCCACTCTGCCCAACGTGAGACCTGAGAAGGAGTAGGTCTGAGACCTGAGTTTCAGATCATGGCGACCCCCATCCCAGGGTGTTATGTCCTCCCACGCCTGAGCCTCTGTTTCCCGGACCCAGGGCCTCTGGCTGAGTTGCACCCTCTGAATCTGGGTCAGAGGGTGCAACTCCCAAGCTTCAGATATCTCTGTTCACTGTGTCCCCCAGATCCCGGGTCTGGCCCTCTCTGCCCCTGCCCCACCCCAGCCTGACCCTTGCCTCTCGCAGGTCTCCGAGACCCTGGTGCAGCGCAATGGTGACTTCCTCATCCGGGACTCGCTCACCAGCCTGGGCGACTATGTGCTCACCTGCCGCTGGCGCAACCAGGCCTTGCACTTCAAGATCAACAAGGTGGTGGTGAAGGCGGGTGAGAGCTACACCCACATCCAGTACCTGTTCGAGCAGGAGAGCTTCGACCACGTGCCGGCCCTTGTGCGGTATCACGTGGGCAGCCGCAAGGCTGTGTCAGAGCAGAGTGGAGCCATCATCTACTGCCCCGTCAACCGCACCTTCCCGCTGCGCTACCTGGAGGCCTGCTACGGCCTGGGCCAGGGCGGTGGCAAGGCTGCCAGCCCCGCCAGCCCCTCAGGCCCCAAGGGCAGCCACGTGAAGCGGCGCAGCGTCACCATGACCGACGGGCTCACCGCCGACAAGGTCACCCGCAGTGATGGCTGCCCCACCAGGTGAGTGAGAACCTATGCTAGGCCTCAGGCTCCCCATCTGTCAAATGGGGGTGTTGGTCATGAGAGTGCGGGAGAGAAAGGGGAGGCCCAGTCACACGGGTCTGAGGTGCTATGACTGCCCTGGAGCCTTGGTGTGTGGGGAAGGACAGGAGGAAGCTCAGGCTGTGCTGAGTAGAAGTCTGGAGCGCAGGTTGCCATCCCTGCTCTGCTACAACTAGCTGTGCACCCTTGGCCCTGGCATTCCTCCTCTCTTGCCTCCATGTTCCTACCTATAAAAGGCCCTCACTCAGAAAGCCCTCTCTGGCCTAGGGGGAGCCCTGGGTGCTGTCCTGTCCCAGGCAGGGGCCTGGTCCTGGTTGCCAGCCCACCCCACCCTACCAAACTAGGCCAAGGTGGGCATCAGGGCAGAGGGCTTTGCAGGATGCAAGCCATTGCACAGGGAATGGAATGTTCTCAGCGACATTTTTGATGACACCCAGTTGTCTGGGGCTAGGTGACACTGGGCACTGATCCCAGGAAAAGCCACAGCAGCCAATCATTCCTGAGGCCCTACTGTGTACCTGGCCCTCTCCTGGTGCTCTTGCGCCCAACTTCAGTGACTCCCACGTCCCCCTGGGAGGTGGCTTCTGTCCATGCCCCTACTTTGTAGATGAGGAAATAGGCTTGGAAAGGGGTAGCCGCTTGCTAGAGAGTGGTAGGACCCAGATTCTAACCCAGGCCCTCAACTCTGAAGTCTGTGCCCCTAATTTCTATGGCCTCCCTGGCTGTTTGCAGCAAGACCTGCTATCCTGTGCCACCAGCACTTGGATAGGTCCCATCTCCCTGGGCCTGGGCTGGGTGCTGTCGGCCAAGGAATCACTGGTTGGGTACCCTGTGGGGAGTAGCCACTTGGCCTGTGGTTTGGAACCAGTGATCAAAACGGTGCCAGGATCCACAGGCCATGTGTGCCCAAGGCATCCTGGGTATAGTATGGGAGCAGTGAGGAGGGGCCAGGCTGGTGGGCCTGGCTCCCTTGGCCTGCCCACCTTTCCTGCTAGCCCCTCTCCCCAGACTGTTCTGCAAGTTGGGGGCAAGGTTCCCAGGGAAGAGAACAGTTGTGCAGGTTGTGGACTGCACAAGCCTTTCCTCCTCTGGGCTTTAGTTTTTGTACCTGTCAGTTGGGAGGTTGGACTTGATAATCTCCAAACCTTTTCTGCCTTTGAAGTTCAGCAGATCTTGGATGGAGGCAGAGGTGGGGGTCCTAATACTAGCTGAGGACCCTGACCTCTGGGATCTCTGCTCATGAAGGTGTCTGCTCCACAGCACATCACTGCCCCACCCCCGGGAATCCATCCGCAACTGTGCACTCAGCATGGACCAGATCCCAGACCTGCACTCTCCCGTGTCCCCCATCTCTGAGAGCCCCAGCTCCCCCGCCTATAGTACCGGTATGTCCAGCAGAGGGGTTAGGGGCAGGTGGGGGGATCTGGTGGGAGTAGCCCTGTGTGTGCACGTGTGCACTATCTTTGACGACTTCTGTTATAGTATGTGATCATGTGTGTTTCTACCTCTTTTCTGAGAGCAATGCCCTGCAAGAGTTGACACTAAAAACTTGCCAGCAGAACTATCGATGTTGACGTGCAAAACATATCCATGGCTTGTTCATTCTGCAACAACTCATTGAGCCCCTGTTGGGTACCAGGCATTGTGCATGTGGTTTCCAGTGCATTCTCCTGAATGTTACTGAATCTGGCTCCAGTGCTGTGAAGTGCGTGTGGTCAGCAACACTCAGCCCCCATTGGTCAAGTGCCTCCGTGTGTGGTGCTCTGCCAGGCCCTGCATCAGCTGGGACTTAATGCGTCCCGGATTCCAAATGGTGGGCTCAGACCGGACTCGTCATGCTTGCTTTAGTCTTTTAAATAGACTTTTTCAGAAAAGTTCTAGATTCACAGCAAAATTGAGCAGGAAGCACAGAGCGCTGTGCTTTTTTTAAATACAAAGAAAATTTCTACTGTAGAAACATGCCACTAGTTCACTTCTGGAAGAAAACAAGTGTTTTCAACAGGCCATACTGCATATTGCCCACCTGGCAGGAAAAGCTCACAGACGGAGGTGCATCCCGGGAGGAACCTTTGCTGGGAGACACTGTTCCCATGTTGCTGTCTATATGGGTTGTCACAAATTCTTCTCTAAACACAGGCCTGGCAGCTTGTCATAACTGCCACCTTGCCTTCAAAACAACACCCTTGGGTGTAAATGTTAAAATGCCTTGCCACAAATTATTTATCGGACAATTTCTAAGCAACGCGGCTCAGGGAAGTACCCAGGAGTGAGGACTTAACACCTGGTTTTAAATCCCAGCTCTATGCTTTGCTGGCTGGGTGACCTCAGGCAGGTCAGCTGGCCTCTCTGAGCCTCAGTTTTCTCATCTGGAGAATGGAGATCATAAAAGTACTGACGCACAGGATGTTGAGAGGGTTAAACGGACTAATGTGCAGAGAAGGATCTCGTAGCCAGTAAGAGCTCAATAAACATCACCTCTAATTTTGGATGATGGTTACTGTTTTGACTGGTATATCTCCAGCATGTCACCAGTTCCCAGGACACATGTACTCAATAAATCGTTATTACTAATTCATTGAGAAATAATTCCATACGATGAACTCCAGCAAGTGCTTAGCTTTTCTGAATCACGGAAAGCTCCTTCAGGTAGCTCCGTCGTTCCCCAAGGCTACAGCAGCCTTAGGGTAGGGAAGTGAGACTCCTGGGGTCCAGGTAATTTCAGAGTACCACTGAGAGCTGGTCAGTGTGCCAGAGTCCGCTGGGCTGGGCCTGGGTCCAGGGAGGTGGGGCTATCACCCATGTAGGGTGGATGGAGCCTGTCCCTTGGGAAGGGGGTGGGGGAACCTCACTGCGTGGGGAGTCATGGAAACTAGTCCTCTCTCTTTATCTCCCTGCAGTGACCCGTGTCCACACCGCCCCTGCCGCCCCCTCAGCCACAGCGCTGCCTGCCTCCCCTGTCACCCGCCGCTCCAGTGAACCCCAGCTGTGTCCTGGAAGTGCCGGGGAGTCGGACAAGGGCCCTTACTCCAGCCCCCCCCACACCCGCTGCGAGGCCTCCCCATCACCGTCGCTCAGCAGCTACAGCGACCCGGACTCTGGCCATTACTGCCAGCTGCAGCCTCCTGTCCGTGGCAGCCGAGAGTGGGCAGCAGCCGAGGCCTCCAGCCGCCAGGCCAGGAGCTATGGGGAGAGGCTTAAGGAACTGTCAGAAAATGGGGCCCCCGAAGGGGACTGGAGTAGGACCTTCACAGTCCCCATCGTGGAAGCCACCTCTTCCTTCAACCCAGCTACCTTCCAGTCACTACTGATCCCCAAAGATAACCGGCCACTGGAGATGGGCCTCCTGCGTAAAGTCAAGGAGCTGCTGGCAGAGGTCGATGCCCGGACGCTGGCCCAGCATGTCACCAAGGTTGACTGCCTGGTAGGTGCTGGGTACACACTGGGGCAGGAGGAGCACCTCCATCCTCTGGCTTTGGGACAGGGGTCAGGGTGGTGAGGAGCTGGCCCCAAATTCCCAAGTATAGCGAATGGGCCTGGATTCTGACTTCATGGCCGTCCTTCACTTGCTGTGTGACTCTGACTAATCACTTTACCTGGGCCCCAATTTTCTCCTTTAAAAAAAGCAAAAACCGAGATATTCTTGTCAGTTTGGCACTGGAACCGAGGAGTCCTGAAAGCCAGTGGCGTCTGGCTGCCTGGGACACTTTCTGAGCCTGGTGAAAGTCAGTCTGGCTGGTCCAGGGAATATAACAGGCCCGACTTCCCGTGTCCACCCCCCCTAGTGGACAAAACTCATTGCCTAGGTCCATAAATTGTGAATGCCTGGGCCTTTGCTTTGAATGGATCTTGACCATCTAAGGACCCTGACTTGCTCTCAGTCTCAGTTTCTCTCTCTGAACTTTGTGGCGGGAGGGCACTGACTGCTTGGTTGCACTGGTCTCTGAGCTCAAGAAGCAAGAAAAGAAACAGTGCTGAGAGGTAGCTCTGTGAAGAGTGCTAGGCGTGAAGGGAGCAGCCCTGGGGTCTAGGCCCACTGTGTGACCTTGGACAAGCCCTTTCCCCACCGACCTCAGGTTTGCCTTCTGGAATAAGGGTGTCCTGGGCACCTCTGGCCCATGTCAGACACCTCTGGGCATTTTCCCATTTATCCCGCGTTTCACAGATGGGGAGAATGAGGCTCATTTTGCTCCATGTCAGAGGGTTAGCAGTAGAGCTGGAATTCAAACCCAGCCTCCCAGCCAGGCTGCCCTCCAAGATAAAGCTCCCTGACTCCCAGATGGCTTGAGCTAGCCGTGACAGAAAATTAATCAGCCCTCTGGGCGTCCTTGTAGGTTGCTAGGATACTGGGCGTTACCGAGGAGATGCAGACCCTAATGGGAGTCCGCTGGGGCATGGAGCTGCTCACTCTCCCCCATGGCCGGCAGCTACGACTAGACCTGCTGGAAAGGTAAGGCGAGTACACAAGGGGACTCACGGGGAACCCCCTGGGCTACCGCGCGGCCCTTCGCTGTGGCCGGTTGGCCAATCACAGTCTCTCACCCCGGCTCCCAGGGATTCTGGCCACGCCCCCTATCCCATTGACCAATCGCTCCTTCTCCATATCCAGCTCCAAGTAATCTTGGTTTCCCAAAGACCGAGTCCTTTATCTCCGAATTCACATTTTGCATCCTCTTGACCGATCACAATCTGTGAGCCTGGCCCTCTCATCAGCTCTGGCTTCTCTCCTTTTCTTTCTTAGAACAGCTCTACCAGATGATTTCCGATGATTTCCGCTGATCGGTCGCAAGCCTCTCAGCCTGGCGCTCTAGGGCCTCTGGCCCCGCCCCCTGACTTATACTGACCAATCAGAAGCCCTTAACTTTGCTTTTCCTCACTCTGGCCGCGCCCCCTAATCTCATTGACCCTTTACAATCTCTCGCTTTTGGCTCTGCCCTCCGCCCCTCAGCTCTCAACCACAAGGACCCCCAACCCTAGGTCCCTGGCCCCGCCCCTCTGACCTGGCTGCTCCGACAGGTTCCACACCATGTCCATCATGCTGGCCGTGGACATTCTGGGCTGCGCGGGCTCCGCTGAGGAGCGGGCAGCTCTTCTGCACAAGACCATCCAGCTGGCGGCCGAGCTTCGGGGGACCATGGGAAACATGTTCAGCTTCGCTGCAGTCATGGGCGCCCTAGATATGGCCCAGGTACTGAGGGGCCCACACAGAGCTGGGCATAAGCTAGTCTCTGTCCGGAGGAGCCCTAGGATGTGTTCCTTTGGGATAGCTGTATATTGAATCAGGAAGAACTTTGTGACCTTCTAGGCAGCATTGGTGACAGGGTAACTGGGAGCACTGAGTCCTTTAAGTGCTGACCTGCTCCCAGACAAAGTCTTCCCTTTTCCCTGCTCTCAGTTTCCCTACCTGTAAAATGAATGAGGAGCATTATATGAGTTTAAAGAATAAATATAAAACGGCACTCATTTAGCAAGCACTGACTATATGCTAGGCACTACATCGAGTACTTTAGAAGCACCAATTCCTCAAAAAAAAATCTCATGAAGGGAGTGCCTTTACTGTTCTCATTTCACTTATGGAGAAACTGAGGCAGAGCAGTACTTGCCTAAAGTCACATTCAGAGGCCGAAAAAGTTGGGATTCAAACTAGGTCTGTCTAATTTCACAGCCCGGACCTCATCCACACTACACTTCCTCTCCTTTGCCTCGTCAACAGTGACAGCAGGATCCCAGAGCAGTGGCTCAACTCCCAGCTCTGCCACTTATTTTTGGAATGACCTTGGGCAAGTCATTCGCCTCTCTGAGCCTGAGTTCCCTCATCTGTAAAATGGGTTGTTGGGAGAGCTTCATGGGAAACGTGTGAAAAGCAGTCAGCACTGTCCCAGATTCATGAATGGTGACTATACTAATAATTATTATCCCATATTTGGGTGTCCGCTGGGCAGAGTTGCCTGTGGCCCCAGCAGGCCCCTTCCCTGGCCGGTCGCTCACAGTCTGGTCTCCCCAGATTGCCCGGCTGGAGCAGACATGGGTGACTCTGCGGCAGCGACACACAGAGGGAGCCATCCTCTACGAGAAGAAGCTCAAGCCATTTCTCAAGAGCCTCAATGAAGGCAAAGGTACCTCTCCCACCTGGCTACGTGACCTTGGACAGGTTCCAGCCCTCTCTGGGCCAGCAAAGACTCTCCCCGTGGGGAGGATGATGAGGGCTTGACTGAGCTTTGTGCAGGCTGTCCCCCCACTCACTTTCTGCATCTGGCAACCGTGTGTGCCACGTCCAGGTCCAGCCTCAGCCCCTGAGCTCGGCCAAGGCTGCAGTGGGTTCAGCTGGAGGAATCCGAAGGGTTTGTCTCAGGAGTCAGAATCCCTGGGGGCTCTCTCTGGGACCTCAGGCAGGCCCTTTCCCCTAAAACATCCTCGGTTTCTGGGACCCTGGTGGATGGCTGGGCCCTCGGAGACCTCTGAGCACCGTGTGTCCCTCCCTGCAGAAGGCCCGCCGCTGAGCAACACCACATTTCCTCACGTGCTGCCACTCATCACTCTGCTGGAGTGTGACTCCGCCCCGGCCGAGGGCCCCGAGCCCTGGGGCAGCACAGAGCACGGCGTGGAGGTGGTGCTGGCCCACCTGGAGGCTGCCCGCACCGTGGCACACCACGGCGGCCTGTATCACACCAATGCCGAGGTCAAGCTGCAGGGTGAGTCATGGGTCGCAGCTGCGGGCGATCCCGCCACTGATCCTGCCAGCCTGGGCCTCCCTCCACATGATTTGCTTTCCCCTCTCCTCCAAACACCCCTTCACATTTCTCCATCCCTCTTTCCTGCATGTTTCCCTGACTTCTTTTTCTCACCCCTTTTCTTCACTTATTCAGCAGTCTGACAAGCAGTTGTTAGTGGCAGGCACCAGGTTGGGTGCGGGGGACAAAGAGATGATTCAAAGAGCACCATAGCTGTGTATCTTAGCTTCTCTGAGCCTCAGCTTTCTCATCTGTGAAGTGGGCATCCTAACAGGCCTACTTTACAAGGTTGTTTACAAAGCACTCGGCCTGGGGCCCTGGGGCTGAGGCAGACCTGCCCTGCCTTCAAGGAGCTCACAGTCTAGTCAAAAAGTAGAACTCCTGGGCTTCCCTGGTGGCGCAGTAGTTAAGAATCCACCTGCCAATGCAGGGGACACAGGTTCGAGCCCTGGTCCAGGAAGATCCCACAGGCCACGGAGCAACTAAACCTGCGAGCTACAACTACTGAGCCTGCGCTCTAGAGCCCACGAGCCACAGCTACTGAAACCCGCACACCTAGAGCCCGTGCTCCACAACAAGAGAAGCTACCGCAATGAGAAGCCCACACACCACAACAAAGAGTAGCCCCCGCTCACCGCAGCTAGAGAAAGCCCGCGCACAGCAACAAAGACCCAACACAGCCAAAAATAAATAAAATAAAATAAATTAATTTTAAAGAAAGTAGAACTCCTCCTTGTGGAGGGAGAAGAGAGATAGCGTCTTCAGATAATCCATCTTTTACTTTTCTAGGCAGTATTTAAGTCACAAAAGTTCTCTGTAGACCAATTGGAAATAACAGCTGAGCAAAACCAAGATAAAACAAATCACCAACAATTACCTGGAGGTAAATACCGTGAGCATCTGGCATGTGTCTTTCCTGCCTTTCTTCTTCAGAAAGGACAAAAAAGAAACTACTTTTTTACATTTATTTACAAAATATATACACATTTCTTAGGAAAAATTTTGGAATTTACAGAAAAATACAAAAGAGAAAAGAAAAATCTCCCCCCCAAATTAATTTTTTTTTTTTTTTTGGTACATGGGCCTCTCACTGTTGTGGCCTCTCCCGTTGCGGAGCACAGGCTCCGGATGCGCAGGCTCAGCGGCCATGGCTCACGGGCCCAGCCGCTCCGCGGCATGTGGGATCTTCCCGGACTGGAGCACGAACCTGTGTCCCCTGCATCGTCAGGCGGACTCTCAACCACTGCGCCACCAGGGAAGCCCCCAAATTAATTTTAATATTTTATCTTCTAGTCATTTTTAAATTAGATGTTGCAAATAGTAGGACAAAGACTGGGTGCTAAACTGCTTGGTCATGTTCATCAGCAAACCTTGTGGGATCCCTGGTGGAGGTGGGGGGAGGTCCCTTGGAATGAGGCCCTGAGGCATGTGGTGGCTCCTAGCAGCAGTCCCAGCCTCCGCAGCTGGATGGTGGTTCCCTGACCCCTGTGCCCCACCCTGCAGGGTTCCAGGCCCGGCCAGAGCTCCTCGAGGTGTTCAGCACCGAGTTCCAGATGCGCCTCCTCTGGGGCAGCCAGGGCGCCAGCAGCAGCCAGGCCCGGCGCTATGAGAAGTTCGACAAGGTCCTCACTGCCCTGTCCCACAAACTGGAGCCTGCCGTCCGCTCTAGCGAGCTGTGACCCCCATGGACCCTTCCCCTCTGCAGCTGCGGGCAGCAACAGGGACAGAAGGGCACAGACCTTTTCCCAGAGCACCCCAGGGACACTGTGATCAGCCCGAGAACGTTCTGGGTTCAACTCCAGGATCTCCCTTGCACCTCCAGGGTCCTACGTGGAGTCTGGGCTCCATCCCACCTGCTACTCACTCACCAAGTTTTCCTTCAGGAAGAACTGGAACCCCTGTTTCTCCCTCCAGCTTCTGCTTCTCCCCTTCCTGCTGAGGTGCCCTGTATTTGAGCCACGGGAGGCTTCTCACACCTCCTCACTCTTCTCCAGGCACCTACCCCCGCCCCCTCACTGACACCAATGCCTCCCTCTGGCTGTAAATACATCTGTCTGTTCTGTAAATAGATGTACAGAAGCCGTGTTCTTTCTTTCATATAATAAACTTTTATGACTCTTTCTTCTGTCTCTCAGGGGGCTTTGGGGTAGAAGGAAGTGTCTTTTCTCAGGTGAAAGGTGGAAAAATTCATTCAAAAAATACTTATTCAGCACTTGAAACATTCCAGATTGTACCAGGATCCAGAGTTACAGCCAGTTCTTAAAACCCAGTCCCTGTCCTGGGGGAGCTCACAGACCAGAAGGGAGATCAACAGCTAATTCCAACCAGTAGGAGAAATAGTGACCTGCCCTGCTCCTTCCCCACTCCCTGCCTCAGGAGCCACAGCAAAGCATCCCACAAATGTACAACCCAGGATCCTAGATGTTTGGGTGGAAGGGCTTTATGAAATCTAAGATTCCAGCTACCCTCAGGAAAACAGAACTGGAGGGAGAAGGGACTTGCCCTGGGTCACAGCAGCAGAATGAGGAAGGCTGGAACCTGGGTGTCCTCGCCTGGAGTTCTTTCCTTTTCTCAACAGTGGGAACTACTAATTTCTTTTCAAGTTTTGAACCGTGGCCCCAGAAGTCTTCGTGTGTGTGTGTGTGTGTGTGTGTGTGTGTGTGTGTGTGTGTGTGTGTGTCAGGTGGGTGACGCAGGAAATCTTTGAGGAGGGCCGTGAAAGCAGTTGTCTTGTTTTCATGGGTAGGGGAGGTAGGCAATGTGGATCAGCATGATTCCAGGCCAGGCTGGAGGCCTGGGGACCCTGTTCACTGAATTTGAAACTACTGGGGTCCTTTACCTTATGAATCCTTTGACCAACAGAGGATGGATGACACAGTGCATTAGATCTTTGGCAGCAGCCAGACTTGGGCCCAGTTCACTAGCTGGTGGTGTTGGATAAGGGGGCCCTGTTGGGCCCTAAGTTCCTCCTCAATAAAATGGGGACAGTAACAGAACTGATCCCTTTGGGTTGCTGTTAAAGCACTTAATGCATGGTAGCTGCTAGGTAAGGGACTGCCATGTTTCATACATAATGGATTTTTTTTGGTCGCGCCATGCGGCATGCGGGATCCTAGTTCTCTGACCAGGGATCTAACCCGCGCCCCCTGCAGTGGAAGCACGGAGTCTTAACCACTGGACCACCAGGGAAGTCCCATAATGTATTTTCAGTGATCATTTATTGATTACTTTGTGAGCCAAAACACTTCACGTGCCTGTACCTCACTGAAATATCACCATTCCTCTATATGACAGGTACTGTTATCATAAGATATATAAGGCACCTAACGTTAACGGTACATAGTAGGTGCTCACCAAAAGCTATTAGCGCTCTTTAATCATATAAAAGGAAAAAAAAGAGCACAGAAAAGGTGTTTTGCAAGGTGTAAGGTGCCGCACAAGTTTTTGCTACTATTATTATGTCACCCTTTGTGGTCATAATCCTTCATTTATTATTCTTTCGGAGCTACTGTGATGGTCCCCTAGTTACCGTGGCCATGGAAACTCAGCCCGCAGTCCTGGATTGGACGGTTCGCGGGCTCCCCCTGGAGGCCACCTTCCGGGCCTGCAGAGGGAAGACCAGGAGGGCCTTTGAGAGGGGAGAGAAGGGAGCCGGGAGTTGTAGGCCACAGGCGATGGCTGCCTCGGAGCGATGCATTTCGGGAGTTGTAGTTCTCGGGAGAGGAGGTGGGCGGCCACAGACCCAGCTCCGGTCTCACCCGGATGGCGGCTGTGAGGCGCGGCAGCCGGCCCGGGGGCTCGCTCCTCGGGCTGCTCGGGCTGGTTTCGGCCGCGGCCGCCGCCTGGGACCTGACTTCGCTGCGCTGCAACTTCGGCGCCTTCTGCGAATGTGACTTCCGGCCCGACTTCCAGGGTGAGCAGCCGCGGGCGCCCGGACCGGAGCGGCCGGCGGACCGGGGAACCCTCGGACCCCGGGGGTGCGCCGGCGCCGGACCTGGAGAGTAGAACCGAGGGTGGGACCCCCAGACTTCCGGACGGCCAGGGCCAGAAGTGGGCCCGGCGTTGAGGGACCCTGAGAGCCTGGGGCACAGGACTTGGGGCGAGGGTTTGGGGATGCCTGTTTGGGGTCCAGGCAGAGCCCTGCCAGGGTGGAGAGAGGCCTTTGACAGCAGGGCCTTGGGGGGAAGTTTAGACCTCGCACTGGACTGGCCGTCAAGGAAGAAGCCTGCCTTGGAGATGGGCGGGAGTCTTGGGCAGACCCTCTTGACAGCTCGCGCCCACTTAGGGCTGAGCGCAATCCAGAGGGCCATCTGGTGGGGGCGCTGCTGAGCTGAGTCAGACCTGAGGGTGACTCTTGCGGCCGAGACCCCAAGGGCCGCACTCCTTTCCGCAGACAGCCTGTGAAAACGTCCCAGAACGCGGATCCCCAGACCAGGTTCCAGACATGACTTCCTTCCTGGAGCTCTTCCGTGGCGGGTGTGTGTCCTCAGCTCTGACACTGTCCTTGTGGCCCTAGGTCTGGAGTGTGACCTGGCACAGCACCTGGCGGGCCAGCATTTGGCCAGGGCGCTGGTGGTGAAGGCACTGAAGGCCTTCGTGCAGGATCCAGCCCCCACCAAGCCACTGGTCCTCTCTCTGCATGGCTGGACTGGCACCGGCAAGTCCTATGTCACCTCCCTGCTGGCACACTACCTCTTCCGGGGTGGCCTCCGCAGCCCCCACGTGCACCACTTTTCCCCGGTCATCCACTTCCCCCACCCCGGCCACCTGGAGCGCTACAAGGTAGGCTGGTTTTGTCCTGGACCACCATCCGCCTGCACTGTCGAGTGCTGGACCCTAGGGAAGGAGTGAGTCCTCAGCCCAGAGAGGGGAATCACTTGCTCCAGGCCACACAGCCAGTTGAAGCTTCACCCCTCAGGACCCACCCTGAACAAAGCTTGGGGTGGTACCACCCGGCAGGGAGTTCTTGATTTAATTCTTGGGGGCCAGTAGTGGCACCGACCTGCCAGGGTTGTTGTGAGGGACGTGGGCTTATAGAATTGCAGGTGTTATTTATTGAGCACTTACCTTTGCCAGACAGTCTGCATTATCTTCTGTCTGTAAAGCCCTTAGCCCCAATTGGAGGCTCAGAGTAAGCAATCAGGAAATCCAATTAGCTCTTACTACTGTTGTTGATTGCAAGGTACTTTCCAGGCTAATCTGTTTCAGTTGTCAACTCTGTCGGGAATGTTCAGGGAGCAGGAAGGAGCCTTCCCCTTTTTTTAGAAAACAGTAGGTGTCGGGGAAGGAGCCCTGAAAAGGCAAGTGAGAGGCCTGGGTCTGAGTCCCTGTCCTCTTGCTGACTTGCTGTGTGAGCTTGGACAAGTCTCTGCCCCTCTCTGGGCCACAGTTTCACCATCAGTCCCATTCAGGGATTGGTACTCTCTGGGAGACCATATCTTCCTGGGAAGGAGATTAATTCTTGCTTTGGGAAGAAATCTGGGATTGGGGGAGCATCTCCAGACACCCTCATACTCTTGCCTTTCTCCCACAGAAGGATCTGAAGAGCTGGGTCCAGGGAAACCTCACTGCCTGCAGCCGCTCTCTCTTCCTCTTCGATGAGATGGACAAGCTGGCCCCAGGCCTGATAGAGGTCCTGAGACCTTTCCTGGGGTCCTCCTGGGTTGTCTATGGGACCAACTATCGCAAAGCCATCTTCATCTTCATCAGGTGGGGCCGGCTTTGCAGCGGGCAGGGTGCAGGGACACTCGTCAGAGGTCTCAGCTCTCCAGTCTTGGCCTGTGGTCCCATAACAGAATACTGTTCCCCCAGGCCCACTGGGCTTTCCCAGAGTCCCCCACACCCTCACTGGTGACACTGTCATTCAAGGTGGTTGACTTCCCTTTGACATTCTCAAAGCCCATTCTGGGCTCAGTCTCTCTCTCTCTTTTTTAAATAAATGAATTTATTTATTTATTTATTTATGGCTGCGTTAGGTCTTCGTTGCTGTGCGCGGGCTTTCTCTGTGGCGAGCGGGGGCTACTCTTTGTTGCAGTGCGCGGGGCTTCTCATTGTGGTGGCTTCTCTTATTGCGGAGCACGGGCTCTAGGCGCGGGCTCAGTAGTTGCAGCTCACAGGCTCTAGAGTGCAGACTCAGTAGTTGTGGTGCACGGGCTTAGCTGCTCCACGGCATGTGGCATCTTCCTGTACCAGGGCTTGAACCCGTGTCCCCTGCATTGGCAGGCAGGTTCTTAACCACTGCCCACTGTTCCCTGGGCTCAGTCTCTTAATCCTCATTTCTTTGTGGAACCCTGCTGGGTTAAGAGTTTTCCCTCTTTTGTGGCCAAGGGGACACAGGCCTGGGAAAAACAGGACTAGAGTTTCAATCCCACCTCTAAGAGTCCTAGCTTTGTTTCCTCAGGCAAAACACTTCACCTCTCTGAGCTCCCACCTCCTCTTCTGAACAACTGGGCCAATCTTTTCTTTTTCTTTTTCTTTTTTTTTTTTTGCGGTATACGGGCCTCTCACTGTTGTGGCCTCTCCCATTGCGGAGCACAGGCTCAGCGGCCATGGCTCACGGGCCCAGCCACTCAGCGGCATGTGGGATCTTCCCGGACCGGGGCACGAACCCATGTCCCCTGCATCGGCAGGCAGACTCTCAACCACTGCGCCACCAGGGAAGCCCCAACACGGCCAATCTTAATGCCCCACTGTTCTCCTAGAGGCTGGGTGAGGGAAAGTCGGTAAGGGACCTAAAAGTGTTCTATAAACTGTAAAGTGTATGACACATATAGGCGAACTTCCAGGGGTCATGGTTAAGGGCACAAGCTCCGGAGAGGGGAAGTGGTTCCCGGGGTGTTTTGAGTGGGTTTGGCTCCTGCCAGCACTGAGCTGGGCCCCCAGGCTCAGGTCGCGTTAGGTGGCACGTGGGAAGCAAGGGCTACATCCTGTCCTCACTGTCTGCGTCCCCCGTGGTTTTTAGCAACACTGGCGGCGAGCAGATCAACCAGCTGGTGTTGGAGGCATGGCGCAGCCGCCGGGAGCGCGAGGAGATCCGCGTGCAGGAGCTGGAGCCGGTTATCTCCCAGGCTGTGCTGGACAACCCGAACCGTGAGTTCGGCCAAGGACCCCACCCCAGGGTGGTTTCCAGGCTGAGGTCTCACACCAATCACACGGAGGGATGGGCTGGGCTCCCTGGGGTGGGCCAGGCTCTCCCAGGTCTGATGCTCTGCCTACTGACCCGGTACTTCCCAGCCCAGGCTTTGGTGCCTGGAAGGTGGCTGGGAGGCTTAAGACCAGCCCCGTCCCTGCACTTCCTTCCTTTGGGGGTGGACAGGGCCCAGCTGATCCCCGTGAAGCACAGCCTCTTCCCATCGCTCCTTCCTGCAGATGGCTTCTGGCGCTCCGGCATCATGGAAGAGCATCTCCTGGATGCCCTGGTGCCCTTCCTACCTCTCCAGAGGCACCACGTGCAGCACTGTGTGCTCAACGAGCTGGCCCAGCTAGGCCTGGAGCCAAGGGATGAGGTCGTCCAGGCCGTGCTGGACAGCACCACCTTCTTCCCTGAGGACGAGCAGCTCTTTTCCTCCAATGGCTGCAAGACTGTGGCATCCCGGATCGCCTTCTTCCTCTGACTCTCCAGGCAGCATCCTTGTCTTCCTCTATCTGGCCAGGCCGTGAAGGAAAGCCCTGGGGCCTCTGCCAGAGGGTCCCTTGTCCTGTGCCTCCTGGGACCCAGAGCACAATATGAAGATGAGGAGGGCTGTTGGCTACCATGAAACAGAAGGGCAGGGCAGGCCCCGGCCTCTTCACTGGTCTGAGGGCATCTTGGCCTTTGCTTCCTTCCTCAGGGAAACCGCTAGTCGCCCCAGAACTTCAATGAGCCTTGACCTCACGCTCCAGCCTGAGCCTTCTTACAATGTGAATTTTAACTCAGGGACGGTGGCTCGTGGCTGCTCCTTCCTTCTCTGGTCTGTTACTCTCGGCCCTGGCTCGGGCACCACACCCCGACCCTCCACCCCACACCCTATGTCCCAGTATCGTAAAGCCAGGCTGAGACTTCTGTCTCTGGGAACAGAGGGACTCAAGTTGCCACTTGGACTGGGCTTTTCAAGTTTTTAATTTTGTAAACGAAGAGAACAAATACAATAAATTTAGCCATGGGACCAGAGGAATAAATTTAGCCACGGGACCAGAGGAATGCTGGCTGAGGTTCTCATTGCTCTGGAGGAGGCTGCCTTGCTGAGTGGCCAGTGGTAGGGGCAGAATCGCCCGCAGCCCAGCAAGAAGTGAAGGGGCCGAGCGGCCCCTTCAGACAGCAGCCTGACTGCTGGGGCTGGGGTTCTGTCTCAGGCCCTGGGTGGTCTGCGTGTTGCTGAGACTTGGGCTCAGTCCCCAGGTGACCTTGGTCTTGCCGGAACCTGGACTTGTGCTCTGGCTCCAGCTCTGGGCAGCCTTGGACTGGCTGGGCCTCTGGCTCTGGCCCTGGCCCTCAGTGGCCTCGGTGTTGCAGGGGCTCCAACTTGGGTCATAGAAAGTCTTGATCTTGCTGGGACTTTGGATCAGTCTCCAGCTCCAGTCCTGGGTGGCACCAGCCTTTCTGGGTCTCCAGTTCTGGCCATGGGCACCCTTGGCCTTTCTGAGCCTCTGCCTTGAGCCCTGGGTGGCCTTAGTCTTGTCGAGCTTTCGCCTTGGGCTCCAGGCGGCCTCGGTCCTGCTGGGCCTCTGGCTCTGGACCCAGATGGCCTCGG